CTGTAGCTGTACTGCATTATAGTAGTAGTATCACTTCAGTACTATTGCAGTAGTTGTAATATAGTAGTAATTCAGTTGTATTGCAGTAGGTGTACTGCAGTTAGTTGTATTGTAGTACTTCAGTTGTATTGCAGTAATACTGCAATATACTTAAATAATGTAGTTTTTTTGTGTCCAAAAAACTGCACTTTTCAGAAGTTAACTAAAACTGTAGTATTCTTTTTTTTAAACTGCAGTAATTTTTGTAAGGGCCCTGCATCATCAAGTTGCATGTTGCTTGAATAAAGGTGGGCCCCGCATCAACCCCACCCCACTCTTCAGTTTCAGATCGCTCCCATCCAATGCAACGCCGCACCCCTCCCCCGCGCTCTTCAGTTTCAGATCGCTCCCCCATCCCCCCCTTCAGTTTGAGATCACTACCCACCCCCACTAGACTAAATAATACTAATTAAGCATGTGAGAACATCTCTCCAATGACTCTTTTCTGCTTCCAAAAGAGAAGTATCAGCTTCATCAATTAATTTCTCCTTTGAAATATAGAGCAAAATCCCTACATTTCACCATGTTGTTGCAATCATCATGGCTATTTTCATGCTGTTTTAATAATGCACCTAATATTTACCCAATTCTGTTGTCCCTCTGTTGCCAGTTTTGTGGACCTTTTGGAAAATAATTAACAGAAGCAGTAGATCGCATCATTTTTATTTTTTTTTTGAAAAAGTAAGGCAGCTATGCTTGATTTTTTCTCCTTTAATAAACTGTTTTCATGAGTAGTAATAGTGGAACCTTTGTCTTTCAGGATTTTTAAGAACATGTAAAATTTTCGTATAAAGAGAGTGGTCCTCTACTTCTGAGTCAGATAGGCTGGATGACAATTCAGGTGGGTCAACTGGAGGAGCTCCTGATCAATGATTTAGGCTGGAAGTTGCTGAGGGAGTAGATGTGACATTAGCTGTGTTTCCACTATCGCGCCTAAAGCAAGCGAGCCAAGGCCAGTCGCGTTTCCACTGTCACATACGGGGCCTAATCGGGCAAAAGCAGGGCTTTCTTGGGGCCAGCGGCCAGCCTTTTTCGGCCCGCCGAATCCCTTGCGCCAAAGAGGGCCAGCTGGGGCTTCGGGGCAGAGTGAAAGGAAAGGCAGACATAAGTTTTCCGATTGCACACGAGTACATGCGCCAAACAAATAAATAAATAAGGGAAAGAAAACATCTTGCCTTATAGACTGGGGTCTTTTTGCGTATGATCGCCCTCATGTTTCCCTTTTAAATGTAAGGCTGTTGCATAAAATAATAAAGTTTTAATTTGTAAGTAACTTTCCTTGCTGCCTACTTCTTGATGTTTCAATAACGCATACTAATCTTTACACCATATTAAAGACACAGCAGACAGTAAAGGTTGTCGAGAGTTTTTGTTAAGTTTAAAAGGTTTATTTGTGCAGGTTTAGATGCCTGTGTGTGGCTGTGAGACCGAGCAAACGAGTGCTCCCTTTATAACTCTGTGATGCCGCGAGCGGCTCTTTTCTTTTCTTTTATTTTGGAGATAATACACAATATAAATACAACAGAAAGACATAAAACTTAACAAATTACGTGCCCACTTTTGTAGATTTTAAACAATAAAGTGTCATATCTTGATAAAATAGCCTTAGCTATATTGAAATATAATTCAAAGAATTACAAATATCGGATATAATTAAATCACATTAAATAAATTAAATAAATAAACCAATATAAAATAAACAAAAGCTAGCTATAACAATGTAGCCTATATACAATACATAAATCAAACCGTTTTAAAGCGACATATAACTTTCATTTTACAAAGGCCTCTCTGAAAAAAAAAAAAAGATTTTAGATATTTTCTAAAAACTAAACACCGGAGAATGTTTGAAATATTATTTATAAAGTATTTGGATACGACGATATTAATCAAATCGTGCAAACAGAGCGTTTTTTGGGTGAGTGAAAGCACAATCTAGCCTACCTTTTTTTCTGTTACTTAGTCCTGCGCAGTGCCGCTTTAAACGCATCAGGGAAAAGTCCAAACACAAAATGTGTTCTATATCCTCAAACTAATGTTTACGTTTTTATATAACGCGGTCAAATTTATAAATGAAACTTTAAATGAAGAGCTTTAGTGAATAACTTCTGAGCGCAACAAATATAGGCTATATTTTATTAGGCTACTTGCTCTTATGTACTGAAACACTTAACACGACGTCTATCAAAACAAGGATGTTATAAAATACATTTCATACTGAGTTATAACGGAGAATTTCTATGGCTTTATATTATGGACGGTTGCGCTCACTGTGCTGGGTTCCTCCGTTAGTGGTGAGACTACTCGATGCACAATGCCAACAGTCGGTCGACGAGTAAACAAATGTAATGAATGGAAATACACAGGTCTGTGCATATAGACATGTCATGTACTGCTGTACAGAAACGGGTCATTTGTTTGTTTCGGCTGTCTTCATTTTAATGGTATCGAGATGATGCTATGGTGTGCTTTATCTGCCTGATTCCCGCTGAAGTGCGTGGGTTGTGTGACGTTTGATTCGGGGGACGTTCTGGGGCGGTGTTTGCGTAACGCGCTGCGAGCTATTAGCCCGACAGTGGAAACGCGACATGATTTCAGCCTCATTACTCAACCTCCCAGCGATTGGCCCGGCCTAGCCCGATTAAAGCCCTGGCTCGCACTGGCCTGATAGTGGACATGCGGCTATTGATTCCAGTGACTACATACATAGAATGACCTATAAAGAATTAACATTGATAATAAATTATTAAAAAATTATAAATAAATTAAAAATATTTTTTTTTACTTAATTTGTTGAGAAACCTATAGGGGTGTCAGGATCAATGATGATAATTATGTTATTACAAGTCCGTAAGACTTATTTGAGTTATTATTTAAGTTATTTACCTAAATATATCATTTAAATAGTTTTTGGAGCTGAATACAATAGTATGTATAAAACAGGACAAATAAACCTATGCAAACAATCGGGCAATTATAAACCAAATATTTAACAAAAGATGATTACTGCAGTAAAATATGGATAGTATTTTATTAAACATGATCTGTATATGATAGAGATGGCATAAAAAGTGGTTGTCATGCGGTGAAATTTGCCAATAGTTCAAAATATTGGTGTTGTCATTGCAGCTCCTGCAGTTGCTCTTCAGATGCTCCTCTGGCTGAATCAATCATCTCATCTCGGAGCACTGTCATGGTACTTTAATGCCACATGTGACAGTCACATGGCGTCGGCGCAGCATCAAGCCAGAAAAGATTTCTAATCGGCATGACCAACTTTAAGACAGATTTCAATTGGTCTGCATAACAGTGCATGATGTTGTATGCACCTACTGGGAAGTCACATGACATAACAGACACAGGAACACCAGACAAGACCGTGAGAAGTATGATTACATTTGTATTCATATATGGATATAATGAATTCATTGTTTGGAGTTATCCTGGCCTCTTTTATATTGATACACAACACCACAACATTGAAAATAGTTTTTTTGTTTGTCTGTTTTGGCCGTCAGATTTAGTCCAAATGTTTAAAATTAGTCCAGTTTTGTTGACATTGCTAAAATCATTCTTATCTTGCATTGCATGAGAATTAACAAGCAAATAAAAAATGTTAAATAAAAATGAAATATTATTTTAGCCTGAGGATAGCCAAGCAATAAGCATAAGTCTATGCACACTGCTATTACCAAGATAAATTTGTTAAGTTTTTTTTTTTATGTGCTCAGTAAAGTGATGAGTAAAACTCATAAAATGTAGTGATCCTTTCAGGAAACCATATGAAATATTGACTATTTAAATAGGACACATCTTTATTAGCACAAATATTCATAATTAAGTATTTCAAGAGTTCACACTTAGCTGATGATTAATTATAAAAGCTTGTTTGGCATGCTGTCCCGGAAGAGAGCCCTGAGCTCATGAGATCCTCGAGCCCAGGGCTCCCTCCCATTGCAAGGCGGGAGGGGAGTTTAAGCTCAGGTAGATCTCGAGAACTCCCCTGCTGTAGCAAGTGAATGCTTTTGAAATTAATTACTAACTAGAAGCGTGTCTATGTTGACAATTTGGATTGTTCAATTGACTTAATTGCATGTTTTTAGGCGGTGGGAGGAAACCGGGGAACCCGGGGGAAACCCACGTGAGCACGGGGAGAAGTGCAAACTCCACACAGAAATGTCTGCTAGTTTTGGTAAAGCCAGGAACCAGAGACATTCTTGCTGTGAGACGACAGTGCTAGGCACTGGGCCACCGTGTCACCCGTCTAAGAAGGAGGAGTGGGGGAGGAAGGTGGGACTCTTCAAAACGAAGATAGCAATGGAATAAACCCCAGGGTATTTATAGTAGTTTAGGAGTCATCTGATTGGATAGTAGTGAATTAAATAATGCGGGTCAGCTGCTAGCAATCATAAGCACGTGATCCTCTCAAAATTTGTTTATACATAAACTTCACTTAGTCCATATTATCAACTATGTAATGTTTGATTCATGTAAGACTGTACATAATTATATAGTGAGAATGTACATGATTGAAATGTGTAAACTCAACATACTGTTTCAGTGGGCTTCTATCCCTTTTCATTTCTAAGACCAAAATAAAAAATAAAAAGTGAACAATTTAGCAATCAGTTGCAACACATTGTATTATTATTTTTTTGGTTAAAAGCCACATTATCTTATTCATTAAAAAATGGTGTACATTCCAGCTGGGCTTTAATGAATTTCTTATTTGATTTCTTAGTTTGTAAAATTTCCTCCCAGGTGAGTTTAAGCTTATGTCTCTTAAGCCCATGACCTGTTTTAAGGCTGCGAAGGAAGTCTTAGGAAAGTATCATAAAACTGAGATCCGTTAGCATTTTTTGAACGAGGGGGGGAGCTCATGGCCTGTTTTAGGTTAGGCCAAGTGTCATAGGAAAGTGTCTTGAAACTCAGACCCACTCACTTTTTTGTGGGATAAAAAGTGAATATAATCAATGTTGTTTAAAATCCTGATTACGGTTTAAGTGCTAAAGACTGCAAGTTGTTTTTCCCATCACATGTTGCTTTGTATTTTGTTCAGGCTTAAGGAGGATAATAAAACATTTAGGTGCAAAAATGCTAACTAATAACCCAAAGCTTGAGGATAAAATGGCAAAAATCTCCACAGCTACAGTAAATTTTCCAGGAGAACTGACATAAGCTGGAATAAATGTGATCCATACAGCACAAAATATGAGCATACTGAAAGTGATGAACTTGGCTTCATTGAAATTATCAGGCAACTTACGAGCCAGAAAAGCTAGAAGAAAGCACAGGGCAGCCAGGAGGCCAATGTAACCAAGCACAGCCCAGAAACCTATAGTATTACCCAGATTGCACTCAAGAATGATCTTTTCCTTATAATACTTCATGTTTTTATATGGAAATGGGGGAGATATAGTTAGCCAAAGCACACAAATAAGTACCTGTATAAGTGTAAAAGCAAAAACACTGAGTCGTTGTTGTACAGGACCAAACCATTTCATCACATTACTTCCTGGGAGTGTAGCCTTAAAGGCCATTAACACTACTATTGTTTTACCCAAAACACATGAGATACACAGGACAAAAGTGATGCCAAATGCTGTGTGACGCAACATACAGGACCATTTAGTTGGCTGACCAATGAATGTTAAAGAACAGAGGAAGCACAGAGTCAGTGAGAAAAGTAGCAGGAAGCTCAGCTCTGAGTTGTTGGCTTTTACAATGGGAGTGTCCTTCTTGCTGTAAAACAGAACGGCAACGAGCACAGTTAATCCTGCTCCAAAGAGTGAGAAAATTACTAACACTATACCCATAACTTCTGAGAATGACAGAAATTCTACAGCCTTTATAACACATCTATTTCTCTCAGTGTTAGACCAGTATTCCCCTGGACACTGCTTGCAGTTTATTGAATCTGCAAAGGAAGTTGTGATCACTAGTTAGAGACCAAAAATACATTTATGAACTTCTTTGATGAGAAATCGTATCCTTATAAGTAGATAAAGAAAGCAAAAAGAGCAACCTGTCTCATTACTGATTTCTCCTTCTGCACATGGAATGCAGTCATAACAGCAAACAGGTCTTCCTTTCTGTGCAGCCTTTCTGGTGCCTGGAGCACAGCTCTCACTGCACACGGACCTTGGCTTCTACAAACAAAAATCCAGTATTATACGCAGTAATAAATTTTGCAATAAATTTATTGTTTATTGTTTGTTCATGTTAGTAAATAGATAAACAAATATCTACTAATGGAATGTGTACCCAGTGTTTTTGTCAATTACCTCCAGCTGTCCTCCAGCCCAGACTATGTTTTTAGTGTTAAGCCTTAAATTCTTGTATGGAGGCATCATAGCATCATAAAATCCCACTGATTTGAACTGAAATGATCCATCTGAGTCTTTTTGCCAGTTCACAACTTCATATAGGGCCACTACGCTGCCAGTGTTGTCAAACCATACACTGTCACCTGACTTAATTGTGAAATTAATATTTTTCAATGCCTTGACCACCTAGAAAAAGACTTGTTGTAAATACACACACACACACACACACACACACACACACATATATATATATATATATATATATATATATATATATATATATATATATATATATATTACCTGCTGTGGTTGTATTGTCAGGCCTTTCTCACACCCTTCTTGTTCTTTGCAGTTAAGTAGGCCATGCAATGAATGAGCTACTGCATAAACTGCTTTGTAGACATTGCTTGAATATCTGTGTTCATTCACGTCTTTATTGTCATTTTTCAGAGCAAGCAGATCCTCATACCTACTGCAAATTAATTCATAATGAGAATGATTCCTATCACTCTCTGAGCATGGAAAAGCTGTATTCCAGAATGGTGTCATAACATATTCAGCAAATCCTTCAATATAAATATATTTTGTTGCAAACCCCAGCGAACCTCCCATTGCACGAAAACTGTTTGAAGTGATATATGTATTTGCAGTTATCCATGGTTCCACACCTATCATTTGGATGCCTGTAATGTTCTGAATACTTAATTGATCAATAAGTAAGCCCATCTCCACAAATGAAACAAATGCTACAATTACTTTAGCAGTGCCTTTGTTTATAGTGTCAACCACTTTTTTAAGCTTTTCTGGCTCTGTTCTGTAGAATTTAACCGAGTATTCCACACAGATTCCCTCCTCGTGGGCTGCTTTCAGAAATATGGCCATCCCATTGTTGCCATAATCATTGTCACTGTTCACAGCACCAACCCAAGACCAGTCTAAATGCTTAACTATATAGACAAGTGCTCTACTCATGTGGTAATCACTAGAAATAGTCCTGAAGAATGAAGGATAATCTTTTTTATTACTGAGACATTCACATGATGAGGAATGACTTATCTGGGACAAAAAAGGAAACAAAATATTTATCATGAACTTGACACAGTCATCAGTATTCCAATGTCAATCATTTAGTGTTACTACTATTTACCACTGGAATCCGAAAAGGTCCTGTTGTTCTGGACAAAACTATTGTGGCAGATGACTCTGATTCTCCTATGATAGCATGCAATCGTGACTGTCCATTGCATCTATCCTCTGTTGAAAAGTCCTGACCATTCATCAGTCCCATAATTGCAGTCATGGTGGACAGTCTTGAACCACATGTATCATAAATCTTGTAGCCAATAGAAACATTTGGGAGCAAACTTTTACTTCTATTAATTTCCTCAACGGCAAAAATCATAGTTTGCGCCAGCCGAAAATCTCTCAGATTCACACTGTGGAAACAGCAAATCTGTAAATATCACCGAAGTGGAAAAAATAGGCATGCAGTGAAAAGTTAAGTTTGTTATTTTATATTTTTATACTGTTTGTAGCTGTAATCATTTGTCAAATCAGTTATTAAAAAAACATCACCACTAATATTTTCCAAAACTGTCCAATGTAACAAACCTGGAGCATGACAGAGGCTGAGGCTTTTGCATGAACTCAAATGAAGGTAATGTTTCTTTTCTATGGATAGCAAAAATTCCTCCAATGCTAACATCTCCATTCTTTGAAAACAGTGGATAATTGGAGTCTCCCATTATTCTGCAAAGAGAGTTTTCCACCTTTGTATGAAGAAGATGGAAAAGCAGGATTGTGTAAAAAAGAAACATCCCAGACTGAGCTCATATGCAGCTGGCAAATACAAATGATCTCATACAGTATTTGCACATTTATAGACATAGTTAATATGGATGAGTGATTTTGACATAATTAGTGATCACATTGGGTGAGATGAGTCATGTCTAGCACAATGGAAAACAGCTAAAATAGCATGATCTAATATTTAATCTTTAATCAGCTGAAATATATTATTTATATTAATTGCTGAAACAATATTTATCAAAAAATAGTTTTTTTAATATATAGGACGTACACTTTTCTGCCAGTTGCCCCTTCTGAAAATCCTTTTGAAAATTAGTTCATATGTGTGGAAAATCACCTTTTCTTTAAGATGTCTACATACAGCTCACAGACTACTTTTGTTAATTTTCTTATTGGCTTAGTCTCTTTATTAATCAGGGGTCACTACAGTGGATTAAACTGCTAACTTATCCAGCACTGTTGGACTGTGGGGGAAACTGGAGCACCCAGAAGAAACCCACACACACATGGGAAGAACATGCAAACTCCACACAGAAATGCCAACTGACACAGCTGAGGCTCAAACCAGAGACCTAATTACTGAGGCGACTGCACCACCAATGAATCCGCTGCTTAAGACATATGCTGGATAAGTTGTCAGTCCTTTCCGCTGTGGTGACCCCTGATAAATAAGGGACTAAGCTGAAGGAAAATGAAAGAATAAATAGAAATTACAGGTGGCATAGATAATTTTTTTTTTTAAAATCTAGATTAAAATGGCTCATTTCAATTCGGCCGAAGGCTCTGAATACATGTGTGCTACCCAAATAATACATCTTTGAGAACAGGTTTCTCAAGCGAGGTGCTGCATTAGACCAGGGGCTCATCTCCTGTTTCCAAAATGCATCACAAACTGCTTGAGAAACTGTACTACTATGATAATTGATGATGAAAATAAATTATGTCCAATAAGACGTATTTGAGTTTACTAACTGTTTATTTAGTTAAACATGAATTTTGAACTGTAGACCTGCATAAGCTCGAAACAGCGTTTTTTGATTACCCTTATCCGACTAAAGTCATAACTAAACTAAACAGAAACAGAATTAAGTCGTGGAGTATGCATGTATTAGTGGAATTAATAAAGTAAACACTGCGATCAAACTATTACCGTCAGGTATGACTTTTCGCCATATTTTCTGACAATATACACACACATTGCAAAATGCGGAATTTTTTTTCTTTCCACTTGGCATGCGTTATTAAATTTCATAACACTCTCACCAGTCCTAACTCCTTATTTGTATCTAGACTCCTGCATGAATTAAATGTTCATGAGTTTAAGTGAAATGGCCAAACTGCAGTTAAAGTCATACATCCTGCTGATTTGATTCAGAAGGGCACTTTTTTGTCAGAGGGCTCACCGGTCAGGTATATATCCGTGCTAAAATATTAAGGTTTAAGTCATCATAGCTTGTGTAGAATAGACCCGGCTCCCAACCCAACTATGAGAAAAGAATAACAGAAATTTTTTTTTTAATTATTGCAGCCCGTTAATGCCAATAACAGTCCACCACTGATATAAATATATATAAATATGATATATGAATATAATATATCCCCATGGTTTTATCTATTGGCAGAAATATATGAATTTTTTCAAAAGAGAGGCAAAAGAAGGAACCAAAACTCCTTAACAGTTGAACAATAGAGGTCAACAGGGGTATTAGACAAGAATGTATAAAAACCGAACATTTGTCATATTCAGGGCCAGAGGGCGCTCTTTCACAGAAACTCCAAATATCTACAGAGACACAGAAAATCCCCATAGAGCACAGGTGTTAAACTCAGTCCCTGGAGGGCTGCAGTTCTGCGCAGTTTGGTTCCAACTCTAATTAAAAACACCTGATCAAACTAGTTAAGTCCTTCAGGCTTTTTTGAAACCAACAGGGTAGTGTGTTGGAGCAGGATTGGAACTAAACTGTGCAGGGCTGTGGCCCTCCAGGAACTGAGTTTGACACCTCTGCCATAGAGGTTGGCTGCTGAATAAACAGAGGATTTAACTCCATTTGTTTATTCGTGGTACTAATTAATGTGGCTCACATATCTCACATAAAAAATTTTTTCAAACACTCATCTAAAGTTACAAAGTGAATCTGGAGTAACACCATGTTATTATACAGATGTTGCATGACTAAGAAAAGAATCACATGCTGCAACTTGCACAAACCATGGTGAAGTTCTCTTGCACATGATGAATATTACCTGAATAGGGCAGTCATGATTCATTCTGTGTGACACCAAACATGTCTGCTGACACCAATGTCCTCTATCATGCACATACATGTTAATCACATTTTAAATAGGTAACATTGCTTATGTAAAACTAAAATATAAATAAAATAACAATGATTGGATTATTATTTTTTTTACATGATTGGGTGTTACGTTATACTAATATTTAGCCTACTTGTTATAAAGTTCACAATTAAGTTTTAGCCTTATTAATTCATTTTCTTTTTGACATAGTCCCTTTATTAATCTGGGGTCACCACAGCGGAATGAACTGCCAACTTATCCAGCATATGTTTTACACAGTGAATGCCTTTCCAGCTGCAACCGATCACTTGCAAACATCCATACACACTCATTCACACACATACTCTACAGACAATACAGCTTACCCAATTCACCTGTACTGCATGTCTTTGCACTTTTGGGGGGAAACTGGAGCACCAGGAGGAAACCCATGCGTGCGCTGGGAGAACATGCAAACTCCACAAAGAAATGCTAACTGACTTAGCCTAAGCTCAAACCAGCGACCTTCTTGCTGTTAGGCGACACCACTACCTACTGCCCCATCGTGTCGACCAATTTTTGCCTTGTGAATACTAAAAAAACATAAAACCAAGTTAAAAAATAATTTCGTATTAAATGATTAGAACATTTCCCATCCCATTTTAACAGCCTTATTGTTATCCATCGTCTAACAAAAATCATAATTCTTTTGCGTTCATCATTGTGTTCAGACATTTTTTTTATCAAATTGTATTTAAATTGTTACAGGAGGAAGGTGAATCAGGATACTGTTCAGTTTCGTATTTTTAAAAGCATATGTACATTCATTTGCCATTTAAAAGGGAAAAAAGAAACTATATAATGAAAATATTTTGTGTAGTCCTATAATGAGGCTATAGGCTATAATGTTCATGGAAACACTGCTGTTTGCTGTTTCAAAACATTCATCAACATGTGTCTGTTAGCTTACAGCTCACAAAGGATCAGTATGCTATCATCTGTGAAAATAAAAACAAAATAAGAAAACATCTCTCTCTCTCCGTGAGTTTTCCTTCTACATACATTACTTCCAATGTGATAGTACTCATCATGATTATTCATAGAGACACCACTATTACAAATGCATTACTTGACACAGATGTCACAGGAACCTTTAAGTTGAAGGAAATATGATGTCTTTTAACTTTGTTTTATGCGTTATTAGTAATAGTTGAATAGTCCTGTTTGATTGAAATATATGAACTTATGTTTGTGTGCTTAACCTCATATAACCTTGCTCCATCACAACTGTGGCTTTCTGTAACTTATAACCTGGGTGCAGTAATAGAAGGGAGAAGTTAAATTTTGAGATTCTTGCTCTAAGCACAATGTAACACTTTCTTTCAGAATGTACTTGGCTACTTTTTTTATCTAGCAGGAATGTAGGAGTAGAAACATTGATGGGAGGGGGTGGAGGTTCACTCTGTTATGCGTATGTGTGATTGTCTGCCTGACAACTGGTGATTGGACTGATCCAGATGGGTGATCTTTCTTACTGAAGCGCCCAGGAGGGCTTGAAGACAAGATGATGACATATACTGGCTGTTGAGATTATAGGGAGCTGTTGCGGACTGCCCGAACACAAGACTCGCCTTGTAGAGGGTTTAGTTGTGCAGCCCAGAGCTCTGTAATGCTTTATCCAATCGGCATTAAATTGGTTGAACTTATTTAAAGCCTCTGATCGATAATTGAACATGGGGGACTAGAGGGAAGTCCAACAATGTCTATAGCAGGGATGCCCAATCCTGTTCCTTGAAAACTACCTTCCTTCCAGCTGGAGTTCAGCTCCAACTCAGATTAAACACAACTAAACTTCGCAGGAAGTTAGATCTCCAGGAACAGGATTGGGCACCGCTGGACTTGAAGCTTTGCTTAGTCGCTTAACTTGCCTCTCATCCCATGTGATTTTCCACTAGTAGTGGAGGCTCTAGATGGATACCCTGTGGGAGAAGACAGGATCCGCTACACCACTACAGGGGTTCGGTTCCAAGTTGGAGCATTATACCAGGGAAAGGTTTTAATCCTGTATTATACTGTCTGCTAATCACCATGTAGTTTTGTGGGTTCCCTGGCTGTCACCGTGACTCTTGCAACTCCTGGTGGAAGAGCCAGATATTATGGTTGAGCAAATCCTGCCACACTCGATCCTTACAACCTCTTTAAAAAATCTGTGTATGCACATTAACCCTTTTACCATTCCCTTTAACTGAATCAAATTCCTCTAGTTTATACTGATCCCAGTGTAGCCTTAAAAAAGGGCCATTCAGTCACCACCACACTATTCAATCAACTGTGCTATTGAATTAGTTCTCAGTGCAACACATAGGGGAGAGCAGGGCACAAAAGTAACACTTTTTGTTTTGGCCAATTATTGAACAAAGTAATAGGGTTAGACAAAATATATTTTTATACAGATAACATAAAAGCCTCTCCTAAAAATTAGCACAATTTGCATGTCTATCGGACTTACTGTTTCTTTATAATATCGCCAAAAGCGTCAGGAGTGAAATGTTACAACTTAACCCGTATGTGGGGTTAGTTGTAACAGACATAGGGTTAGTTGTAACAACTACTGGAAATGTTAGATTTTACACACTTTAGCTACACAAACTTTAAACTTACACATAGCAAATCTACTGATTTTTTATTTATTTTTTTGTAAATGAAGAGTTTAGTTGCAAAATGAGATTTATCCATTTTGAGAAATGTTGGT